CGCAAACAGAGACCAATGTCTATAAATTTCCTGACAGAACAGAAAGCTACAAGCGAGTAAATCTGGTTATTTTCCTCATTTTGCCCTGCAACTCCCTCAGAATGCCAGGCTAAGAGGCTTGCCTTTGCTGCCAGTTATTCCAAGTCAGATTTAGATAAGCACTGCACAACCTGTGCTGTAATACAGCCTCATTGAATAATTTACATTTTTGGAGTGATCTTATTTGTTGCAGACACCTGCTGCAGAAGCCTTCCTTACTTAAGACAGTGCCATTTCTTGTACTCTGTTATATTTTTCTACCTGACAAAATCCTAGTCCATTACATTTATTTGCATACTTTTAATAAAGAACTCTGTTTCATTCAGTAAAAAATCTTTTCAAAAGTGGTGTATTTGCACAGTTAGACTTTCCCCTTAAATACAGATATTTAAACAGACTATTTCTGCTTCAGCGTATGAGGCAAAATCTTGAGCATGCGTAAAGAAAATTATTTATAGTAGCCTGAGTGAGATGTTTAAGAAAGATGATTCTTCATGTAACAGGAAAATTACTTCACACTAAGTCTGAGAATAGAACAAAAACTTGCAATGCTGTCTCAGATTCTTCTGGTGACACTTTGCAAAAGCCATGTAAAGAGTGGTGTCTGTTTCTGGGAATCTTTATTAACGATCCTGTAGATGGGGATGAAATCATTGCAGTCTAAAATAATTTTCAGCGTCTTTCATTCACAAGAGTTGCTGCTCATTCAGCTTCTGCAATTTAATTGGGAACTCCCTCTTCAATTCCTCCAAGTTTACCTCTTTCTCCTATCCCACACACCTCTCTCATGTTTGTTTTCCTTATAATTCTGTTCATTTGCAATCCTCACATCGGTCAAACCTCTTGTGACTTTTTTTCCTTCCTGTAGCTGAATGTCTTGCTTTCTTCCTGCTTTTATACAGTAGGAGAACTATTTCATACGCTACCTTACTGAAAAAGAACAAACAATATGGAATGCAATCCATTTTGTGGGACACTTTAGATGAGGCAGTAGCCGCTTTTTAGTCTGTCTAGATTGAAATCAATAACCACTTCAACAGACTAACTAATATACTTAGAAATAAAGGGGAGATTAATAGCTGTGAGTTAGTAGCATCCTGCACCTGCACTGTCAGATACTGTCCTTGAAAGATTTCTCCCCGTAACTTGCTGACATGGAACAGCCTGGTTGCATGACTCAGAGCATGCATTCACACAAAATGTGATCCCAGCCTAGTTCAATCCACGCTCTAGCTTTGAGACAAAATCCTGTACATTTCTTTCAGAGGAAAGATTTAGGATCTGCAGAAAATAATTATAATAGCTATTGAGTGATGATTAGAGATAAGGTTTCAGGTTATGCATATGTCCATGTGTTACAGCCAGCAGACCGGCCTCCCCTCTTTCTTCTCCTCAGGATATTCAGTAATGTCTGCAGCTGTGAGAACTATTACAGGGTCTTCTGGAATAAAAGCTGTTCTCCGACTGATTCAATAGTCCTATAAAAATAGCACAGACACCATGCAGATTTCAGCTTTCATCTTCTATCTGCTGTTATTACCTCACCTGATATCACCGTGTGGAAAAACATAATTTTTAAGTCAGATTCTTCTACTTTTTACTTTTAAATCAATCTGTCAACATCTGAGGAATTGGAAATGCAGGAAGTCTGTGTTTACATCAACTGGACAATGACTGTGACCAACTCTTATTACAGCAGCTTGCTAGAGATGAACACATTGCAATACTCCTGCTGCTCACAATACTCATATATCACAGGAAACCAGTGGTATTAATATTCTTAAAAGTAATTAAGTCAGTATATTTAAGTATTTTTCAAAGTTAACTCTTTTCTCCTTTTTTTTTCTTCCCTTAGAATCAAATAAAATATGCAAATAAGATGTAACCAGCACCTGTAAGTGAAAGCTGATTGATCACAAAAGGTAATAAAAGGAAAATTTACCAGCTGCACAGAAGAATTAATTTGTAACCCCATGCCCCTCCCACATTAGGACTTCTTCCTCCTCTGCATTGTTCTTCTTCCTCAACCCTTCAAAGAGAGAAAGCAAAAGTGTGCCTGGGATTCTTCCTAATTCCTCTTAGGAACTAATTTAATTAAACTCTCAACACTCTCATCTAATTTTTCAGTTACATTTCTTTTACAATTCCTACTACGTAAAGATTAAAAAGAGATACACTAATCATTGAATATTCAGTAGATCAGCACTACCCTAAAAGCACTCTCTTCTGTTTTCTTTTCACTTGCTGCACTGTTGCTCAGCTCACTTTCTCTGTATAACTCCTGCTGGCACATCACTACTGCTATTGCAGCCACCTGAGTTCTCACAGGGATCCATAGTATTCCAAATGTAACTTGTTTTTAATGTAGAAACTGTACTTTGAGGATACGAATGGGTTAACACTGGGGATCAATAATAGGACTGACAAGCAATAAAGCATGAGTCAGACCAGACTCAGGCTGACACCATGACCATTTTCTTGGATCTTACTGGCATACATTTTCCGTGTGAATCTCACAGGACATGAGCACAACCCAGAGAGCGCTATCATGAATGTAACTGGCTGATGAACTCAGAAAAAGCCACGACCTGGAAAGGCATAAGAATATAGCTGAGTAATGGGCATCAGCATGTGGGATTCATTAATCAAAAATTAAATTAAAAAAATAGTGCTGTAAATGTGATGATCTCAGTATATAAGCAAAGCAATTTATTTTATTTTTAATGTGCTCAGCCTGTGAAGCTAGAAAATACTGATAACATTTGGGATACACATAAAAATATTTCATCAAGGGCTCATGCTGCCTGAAGCCTTTGTCTAATTAAATTACTGGTCAGCTCATAGCTACCTCATAGAACTGATGATAAGTTTTTATATATTTTGCCTGAAAGACAAAGCAAACATTACTTTTCAGAATGTTATAGTGTAGAGATAAAATGTTCATTGAAAATGTTGGTTTTCTGACCAAGTAATATCTTCTCAATTACTTACTTGATTCGAGCCCTTTTATAAAAATCAGCCTGTTCTGAAATTAAAAAACAAAACAAAACAAAACAAAACCATTTTCTGTCAAACTGAATTAGGCAGGGTGGTTAACTGGAAATGTTTTCCTTCAAAGTGGTCTAAAGTGTAAAGTACTGTGAAGTTGCCATGTTTTATTAAATTAAATGAAGCCACAGAGTGGGTATATTCTGTAGAGTATTAGGTTTTTATAATAGTGAATGGAGAAGCAATGTTGACACATCAGTGTTCTAGCTTTAAAAGCCTACATTCAAAAGTACCAATGTGATGAATGAGGAAGGGTTTGCTGATATCCTTTGTGTCACATGTACAGCTTATCCAGAACATGAAAATCACCTGACACTTCAAGATAGCTTTGTGTGATTAATACTCTCTTTCAAGAAAGTTTTGAATAGAAAGCTAGTATTTCAGGGGCTCCAAAGGCCTGACAACAGAAAACTGTAATTTAGAGTAAAAATAATTTTGTGGAATATAAGAAATGCAACATTTTTAGGTGGAGTCTGTTGCAACTTTTCTTACAAAATGAAGTGAAATTCCTCTTGTAAAACAAAACCAGACAACTAGATATTACATGTGTGCCAATTGTAAAATGCTGGTCCTTGACAGCACCAGATATGTTGCTACACATAAAGATTTAATTTTTAAATGTCATTTAGACACTCAAGTTTCTAAGAAGTCTTTAGCTCTGGGCATTACCAGTAGCCATTCCTAATACTCTGAATAGGAAATGGATGATAACAAAGGCTTTTAGAACCGTTTAATGTCTCTTTCATTCATTTTTGTTGCTTTGCATAGAATAGATATAACCAATTTGAGATTTGACTAAACTGTATGATTTCTTGCCAACACCTTGGCAACATTTCTATTCAGCTCAGGGGAAAGTGGCAGACACTCAGTGCACAAGTGGCGAATTATATATTGCTGAATGAATTGGATCTTGAATATTTTTGGAGAAGAAACACCATCAGTAGCAGATAGTACTGCATAATTTTAGGCTACTGTCACCTAAGCTTCTTTTGACAAGAAGAAAATATACTCAACATTTGCCTATAATGATTTTTTATTGCTACACACTAACATCTAATGTGTTCCAGATACATTCAGGACAATTTGTTCATTTCACTCAGTGATCAAAATGTGTTTTGACTAGTAAGTCTCTGTTTATTTTGTTCAGTAATCTTTTTTCTTAATGGGAGTGTTTTCCAGATGTTGTGTTAGTCTAGTCATCTGGGATCTCTTCCAATACGTGTGGAAAGTTTGCTGTCATAGGCTGTCACTGGCAGTTTTGTTTAACAAGCAGACTAATTAGTTCACCCCAGCGTAGTTATAAAGTGATATATAAGGCATCTGAAGCATCCCTGAGAGCAGGCACATTCTATGTTAGGTAAGTGTAATTCCTTTCTCTACTCAGAGCATTCTGATGCAAAGAAAATGATGGGCTGGAACAGAAGGAACAGACTTTTTCCTTTTTGAAAGACATTTACCTTTGCCCTACATTTTCATTTGTCATGCTTAATATTTTGATGATGGATTATGTTTATAAAAATATGCAGATTAATCACAATTTTGACAGTATTGATTTTGTTTCTAGATTTATCTTTATTGTAGTCTTAGAGGCTGGTGTACCAAACTCCACCCATTTCAAATGTGGAGACTGACTGTAGAGCTCACCTAATAAAGAACTGCAAAAAATCCTCCCATTTGTTAACAATGAATATTCCTAGTCTTACTGAAAAATTTAGCAGCTAATTAGCTACTAACTATGAGAGGATTAAAGGAGTAATTATAAATTACCAACCTCTCCTGGAGTAATTATAATGTGAGCTGTATGTTGCAGTGAAACTCATGTTCTGTATAAAGATATGCATTTCAAGTTTAACAAATTCATTATTAAAAGATACAAGAATTGCATGTAGTGATGTGAAATTATTTCTTTTTAGAGATGATGTCGTACCTGAAAGTAATGATCATATGGAACATAATTTGCGTATCCCTGGTGGTCCTTTCATTGTCCCTGATTCAAGAAGTGGCTTCTCAAGGTACTGTAACATCCAGTTGAAGGGAGGCTGCCAAACAGATCCGGAAAATGATAAGAAAGCTTCAAAATGAAGCTTTGAATTTATCTTCTTAAAAATACTAAACTCTAAAACTTTTTTTTTTTTTTTTTTTTTTTTTTTTTTTTTCACACACAGTCATTATGATTCAGTTTTATTTTCATTGAATAATTCCATAAATTAATTTTGGTAGAGCACAGTCCTCTGTTTTTGAGAAATAACATATGTGTGAATATCAGGCAAAATTCATATGAGTTTATGTCTCTTCCTGCAGGCATATTCTGTTGATCCTGTTGTCCTTATGCTGATATATTTAGCAAAAGTGATTGGCAATATACTTCAAGGAAGAATTTAGAATTATAGTATCCATAAACTTGAGGTAGAAATACCTAAACAGGACAGGCTGGGGGAAAGGAATGTGCATGTGGGACTAAGTTCTTTGCCAGTAAATGCAGAGGCTGATTTTGGCAACTACATGTGTAATACTGCAGATTTTAATTTACTCTCAAAGCTCTGCAGTTGCTTTGTAACTAAAGTGGCCCCATGAAGAAGGAATGGAAGGACTAGTAGCCTGGCAAGCCCCCTGCTGTCCCTCTTCTCAAGTAGCTCTGAAGTGGTTACACTGATAACACAGTGTATCACTGGCTTGCAAAATACATTTTATTATTACCTGTGAATACTGAACATAAGGTCTGCGCGGGTGAGCAGCTCAGCAGGGCTCAGGTGTCAGACACCACCTGCAGGACAGCAATGTCTGACACTGCACCCCCTGAAGTCAGTGGGTGCCTTCATACTATTTCCAGCAAAAATCAGATTCTTGCCAAGAGCAACTATAAGCACTGAGGTGCTTTCCATGCTTCACAACTGAATTGCTGAGAAATCACAATACAGGTTCAATCTTTTGTTATGCTGAGCTCTACCTCCACCTGCACAGTGTGTGTGCTGGTAGCAATGGTTGTCTTTGGTGTTGTGTTGTGTTACATGTTATTCTTTGTTGTTTCCTTGTTGTTCCTCAGTGTTTCAGCTGGTTACCCAAAGTCTGTTGTAGCTCGCTGATTGTTCAGCTTTTTGTTTGTATTTAGGGACACTCCGCTTGTGGTCCTGCATTTCCAGAAGAAGTGATAGAGCACCACGTTAGAGGGGGACTCATGTAGTAAGCCCAGATGAATATATGATCCTTTGGAAGCAGACCTCTGATGTCTTGCTTGCCACCTGTGGCCTGCACCACATATTTATTATCTGGCATTTTGCAGCACTGCAGCAGTCAAGCTGTAATGCCAATGTGAAATAAGCACCTAGGTTGTTCTGCTAGTACCAACCTTCTCATTAGTAAACAGAGAGCACTTTGTAGAAGGTTGGAGGACCAGATCTCAACTTCTCCTAACCTCAGGGTCAGCACCAAATTCATCTCTGACTTTGGAGGAAAAAAAAACAAAAAACAACCATGTGAAGGGCAGGCTTAAAACTGGCAGTAAAAATGGCTCTGGGCACCTATATTTATTATGGCAGTGCTCACCATTTAAAACATGAGCTGATTTTATTACAAAGAGCATTACCAAAGTAAAAATCAGACAGACCTAATGTATCTGTCAGATGTGCTGGTGCGGGCCCACTTCTGTGGCCATGCTTAGAGTGAATTTTAAGATAGAAAATGAAACAACATAGTGCCTGATATATTGCCTCAGATAAATTGGAACAAGCTAGTCTGAATGCCATAACCAGTGCAGCCATCACACTGAACTGGTCCTCAGGATTTACTGCTTTTTAGGAGAACAGGACAAACCAGCCCAGACAGTGCCCATCTCTGCTGCCTGCCCACGGGCCAGCCCAGGGATCAGCTCTGATCTGCAGGACTTCCAAACGGGCTGCGCTGGCTCACAGCTTCCATGGCTCTGAGTGCAGAAATGGCATTCTTTAGGGAAATGTAAATCTTCCTGCTTTGCCATTCAGTTTCCTCACATACCACCTCAGTTTGGCAATGTTTACACTGGTGTCGTGTGATTTTAGATTTATGGAGCTGTACAGGGAGATGTGGGGAAGGGTATTCTAGAGAGCATGTCTGCCACTGTGATTATAGCTGCCAACACTACAAGGAGTGCTGCCCTGACTTCAACAAAGTCTGCACAGGGGGTAAGTTCCCAAACACAGCCAGCTCCTATCAGCAAAGGCTTCTCCTGCTTGCACCAGCCTATGTCCTCTGAACGCTTAGACTCTTCTTTTGGTTTGCTCATCCTTGTGCTCCTCTTGTCTATGTATAATTCTCCCCCTTGAATACTTGGTGATAACCTCTCACAGCCCATTCAATGAAAATTTTGCATCTGCAGGTTGTCACCAAGAAAAGGGGTTTGCTTTTTGGAAGAACAAAGCAAGAGAGGGATTTTCCCTATTGCTTGTTTTCTCCTCCTTTGTGCATTTGTACTGTATTTGTTTGTCTGTAATATAAAAAAAAAATAATAAAAAAAAATTAAAAACAAGTTCAGGTGAGAAGGAAAGTTTCAGGATCTTTCAGAGAAAATTTCTGTGGCAGTCCCACCCAAATTTAAGAGGAATGGAATCTGTGGGGTCTGATCCAAAGTCAGAGGGAGTCCTGACAGAAACTGAGTGGATCAGAACTATGGCTGGAGTGTGATGGATAAGATGAATGGACATGTATTAGTTTGTGTGAAATTTATGACTGTATGGCATAAAAAAATACAGATACTTCAAACTTGTTCTGTTGGAGAAGTTCTCAAATTATTTTCTTATGCACTACCCATATGTCAAAAATAGCAGGGCTTTAGATTAACATAGTTACACTACAGTATAGTTCTAATAAGATTAAAGGTGTGAGACAAAGATTAAAGGTCTTAGATCTAGCTGTACAGGCTAACTATTTTAAATGCAGAAACAACATTACCTGAAATGATCATTCTTTAAAAAATAAAAACCATTTTATTGCTGAGGCAAACGTGGAATGAATCCACTGGCATCAGCAGAGTGCTCCACCTCCCCACTGGTCCAAAGCTTCCCAATCCTGCCTATGCAGCAATCCTAACTTTGCTAGATAATTACTTAATTGTAAAATACAGTTGTATGCAATAGATCATATGATAATTTTGGAAATACCACGTGATGGTTAATTCTTAGCTCAATTCTATGTGATGCTAAGCATCCTAAACAAACAAACAAACAACCCTCCCCCATCCCCACCCAAAATGTCCATTTTAGGTCTAATTTATTCCAATATAGTTCACCAACAGCTAAGATACAGTACTTGCACACTGACAACTAGTGCAGTCAGTCATAAAGTATGTAGGCCCTATTCTTTTTCAGAAATGCTATGGTAGACACGCCACTGTTGATGCAGCGCAGTGTCATCATGCAAATCCTTTTTGAAAACGTGGCTCAGAATTATTTTCTTACTGATTTTAACCATCATTCTTGAAACAACTGCTATGCGATTAGGGAAACAGCACACGTTGCCCAGAGAGGCTGTGGAGTCTCCTCCTTGGAGATCTCCAAAGCCACCTTGACATGGTCCAGGATGCTCAGCTCTGGTGGCCCTGCTAGAGCAGGGGACGACGAGACCTTCAGAGGTCCCTGGCCGCCTCAGCCATCTCTGGTTCTGTGAAGTCTTCTCTCATGGGACCTGTCTAAAGCAAGCTCCGTGGTTTTGTTTTTATTCTGCCACAGATCCTAAGTGGTCTCAGTACCCCCAGTAGCACAGCACAGTTCTGGTTATATGGCCTGATCCAAAACTCATTGGAATTAATCACACAATCAAGTTCTGGGTCAGACCAGAATAATCACGTAGGAAACTGGTCTTTAAATCAGCTTAAGTCACTGTAGAAAGGTCCCAGTGTCACATATGAGCTGCACAAGAATATTAACTCTGTTGTTTGTTCTGCCTTATGTAGCAGTCTCCTGCAAAGGACGTTGCTTTGAAGTCTATCAAAGAGGAAGAGAGTGCGACTGTGACATAGACTGTAAGCGATACGGAAAATGCTGCCCAGACTATGACGAGCACTGCAAAGAATGTAAGAAATTTCTTAATCACAATGTTTTTCCTATATATATTTAAATTTATATACCTTGGGCTGCTGTGAACCACACAGACCTTGTTCTGGTTATTATCCACGTTCTCAGGTGAATCTTTCCATAAAATTAAGCCAATCCTACTGCTGGCCAATACACCTAAAGTATGGCATTCCCAGTCTCCAGGTGCACAGCAGTTTATACTGAAATAGACTCCGTCCTGAGCACTCCTGACTGAATGTGCAGAAGAAGATAAATGTCTTAGAAATGTCTTGAGGTGAATTTGCTGCCTCTGAGGCTGCTTAAAACCTGCTTTTCTCAGCTGTTGTGCCAGGATGCCACCTGATTTAAGTGATATTGTCTACCATTTTGTCAGTGGTTGCATTCCATCTTACTTTCCTTTTTGCTTTTAATACCTGTGATAAAACCCCTTCAATTAGAGCAAAGTTCCCCAAAGGATTACATGTGTAACACTGAGACTGCAACGGGCATAGACAAAATGAAAACACCTCACTCAGAGCTGCTGGTTGAGCAGATCTCTCTCTGTGACTCAGAAAGAGCCAACAACTCTACCTTTGAGGAAAGCATGACCTCCTGGCTTGGTGGTGGCTCTGCCCCAGGCAGGAGCACATGTGAGTCCCACGGGTTGCATCCAGCACCACACAGCAGCTTTCAAAGTGACAGCAGCCACTGCTACTTTGGTTTGCTGCTAATTTTTGTCAAAACAGCAACAACAGATAACAACACAAACCCAAACATTCCCAAATCCACTCTGCTCTCTACCAACATTTTAATAATTTTGCTATCTGTGAGTAATTTATGTGTTTGTAACCAAAAGAGGTGTTTCTGCCTATAGCAAGGGGTTGGAACTATATGAACTTAAAGGTCTCTTCCAACACAAGGCATTCTATGATTTTTGATTAGACAAGTTCTCAGAGCATAAAATTCCACTTAGAATTCATGTTCTTCCCACCTGAAAATTCCTGTTAGCTTGGAATGCCTCACCTCTCACCTCTGGGAAAAAGATTGCTCAGGTCTGTGATAAACACTTGGGGATCCCAAGAGTATTTTTCTCCTTTTCGTTTCTCTTTTTCCCAATAATACCCTAAAAAATCCCACGGACAATATATAATATAAAAAAAGATGCATATGGAAAAGTGTCATTGAAGTTGTGTACCACAGTACCACCTTCTTACAACAAACATCTCTATGCGATCCCATTAACAGATTGTGTCATTTCTTTCAGTACACACAGAAAAGCCAGTGCCCAAGACTCCTCCCGCAAACAAATCGACGTCTAAAAGGTCGTCTACAGATGAGGAAAAGAAGCCAGAGGAAGGTAGGAAGGATATGAATGAAACAGGGTGGGTTTTATATGAAGGGACATTAGAGACTGTTTTCCTGCTCTGGAAATAGAAAAGTGATGCGAGACATTACCAACCTTGGAACCACTCAGAGTATAAATTAATTACCTCACCTACACTTCAAGAAAGACTCTACTGACTTTGCAGAGTTTGCTTAAGACACGATGGGGTGTGGTGACATCTCCTGCACCCCTATTTGATTTCCACACATATCTTCAATAAGATAACACACCACTGTCAGTTTTGGACAATATCCACTGCAGGAACAGGAAGGGTGCTGTATCCTGGGACAGTGAAGATCTGGCAGAACCAGGACAGAAAAACTTCTTAACAGGTTTCTTTAGCTTTAATCAAGTCAGGCATCCTGCAGCTTCAGAAAACACACATAACTTATTTTCTACTGAATGGAAAACATGCTGCATTCCTGTGTTCTTTGATACTCTATTCCAGCATTATTAATGCTAACTTGGGAGATCCCTTTGAGCTTGAAACCTTGAAGTAATAACAATGAAACAAAGCTATAAGTTAATACTGGCCAATAGCTTAACCCTTAGGTTGTTTTTCAGTTTTGACTGTTTATCTTTTTGTTGTGGCAATTTCCTGTTGCAAAGTCAACAAAAATCTAGAAGGTCAAATGGAACAAAATTAAGGAGAAGTAGACAACAGGACTTCACTTGACTGTTGGTATTTCAGACATATTAGGTAGGATGAAATTCTATTCTGTAATGCTCTGCTCACACTGCACTGTCTCTGTAGGGATTATTTCTCATACTGCAAAGTCCTCAGTACTTCCAGCCTGCTGAATAACTGTCAGCAGCAGCTCAGATCTTGAAATACTGTTTTTTAGGGGATTTGTTCAAAACAATGAGGTCCAAAGTCACATGCTGCTCTTGATTTTTTCAGATTTTCAAGAACCAAGTGTCAATTTGGTTGTAATGGCAGAAAGAATTTAAAGAAAAATAAAAAGTCAATCAAACAAAAAGAACTCCACAACAAAACTGTGAAAACAACTACATGGCAAAACACCACAGAGACCCCAGTAAGAGATCAAAAGATTAAAATGCAGAAACATTTTTTTGTTAGTTTCTGCTGAATCTATCTATATCAATAATTTGACCCGGGTTCATGTAGCTACCTATAAAAGTAGAGTCTTTAAGCTGCACGTCACAAAGAGGAAAAATACCAAAGACACAGCACAGGAGATGTTATTAGGTATCTGTACTCACAAAGTTCCTTTTCCTCCTGTTTCTGTAACTCTCTCCATCAGGTCTAGGACACAGGTGCAGGCTTTATTATAGGTAAGGACAAAAAGAATAAATCAAAGGAACTGACAGTGAAGGGAAGTGTTCTTTTAAAAGAACTATATTTTATAAGGTGGGTCTCCCTTTCCATGAAAAAAGATGGAAACATTATATGGCTTCACATATAAACACCAATTTTAAATCTTTCCTATTGAATTAAGAGTCATTACAGTTTAATCCATGGATGTCCAATCTTTCGGCTTTCCTTGGCAGAACTGAATGAAGAGGAATTGTATAGGGCTGCATTTATGGAGGTTGCTCGGAAAGTAATGCCTTCTGATTACTTCCTTGGAAACTACAATCAATACAGAGAGCATAATAACACTATTTAATAGAGTAAATTTTCAGCTACAAAATGCTCTTCAGCACTGTCACCACTGATGTCTAAGAATTTTCAGCAGTGATGAACAAGACATGCATGCTGCACTTGTAACAATCTGCACCAGTGCAAGTGACCCACTGCTGAAATTCATCACCCACCCCTCACTGTGCTCACATCCACTGATTGGTCTCGATAAATGTTCAGCAAGTGTCAATGAATGACAGTTTTTTCTGCATGGAAAAATTCAGTTCCACCACTTGGCTTCATATGTACTTCCATGTCAGATGCTGTTCTGTCATATTACCCCTCTGCTGCTGTCTGTTGCATGGCAGCAAAATGTAATGGAATCTTGGTGAGAAAGTTCAATCTCTAATGCCATCCCATCAATATCCACCTATGATGTTGTGGGAAGATAAAATAGGAGGCATTTCTTTCAGAGCAGCCCTCATAAAATATATAATATAGTTAATATATATAAATAATAAAGCTTATTTTATTTTTTAAAAAATTATTTTTCTTTTCACTGAAACATATAAAAAAAGTAGCAAAAGCATAAAACTAGTGGAATATGTGACCCGGTTTTTGTGAAACCAATGCATCAGCCTGGTTCAGTGACAGTGGTTGTAATTCATATTGAGTACTGGAAGTGTTCATCAGAGATTTTTGATAAAATTTTAATCTTCCTATGCTTCATTCTTGAAAATACTTGTTCACAAGTGTGTACGGCCAGAAAGTGGTTACACGACTAAAGCATGATTGTGAAGCTAGGGGTATTTCTTTCTGGTAAGAGAGTACATATAGATGTCTGGTAAAGAGACAAAGTCAGATTTTTTATATACATTCTATATCATTTGAAAATTAACAGGTAATGGATTTATGTTGACTGAAAACCCAGTTGCAAATTAACAAAAAAATTGATTTTTTTTTTTTTTTTTGGCCATCTTGAAACCTTTCCTCAAATACCTTCATCAAGACAGAAAGCATGGCTGCGCGTTTTCCAGTGTTAGCAGGACGGTGTTCAGCCAATGTGTCAAAATCCACAAACTGATTCAACACTGAGTTAGCACTGCACTCTACCCTCCCTGTGCCTTGCATTCAGCCCAGATGGGGTCATAGTGCACCAATGTTCAACTGGTGCTGAGTAACGGTTGTGTGCACTGGGCTGGGCAGAGCAGAGACACCACCATAATGGCATGGGGCAGCCACATTATGAACTATGCTGGTGTGGGTTGGATGTGCCTGGGTTAATCAATAGTACTAAACAAAACCTAGGTGCTGCATAGTCCCAGGCATAAAAAAACATTCACAGTCCAGGTTAGTTTAAAGAATGTTTATGATTCTATGAATGTATCTTTTCACTTGTTGTAACAGGTATTCATCAAATTTAACATAGGTTTTCATGTACTTTTATAAAATGGCAAAAAACAATGGAGGTTTCAACAACTGTAACACAAATTAAGTACAGTTTTACGCAGAAAGCTTTTTTTTTTTTTCAGCAAAGGCTATTCACAAGACAAGCAGCTATTTCTTATCAGTGTAGTAAAAAAATAAGAAAATGTTCATGCATTGCAATTCCTATGCCATAAAATATTTTTCCTATTACAGATACAGGTACTGTGACCAGTCCTCCTCCAACTACAAAACAGCCTGATACAACAGCCCCAACCAAAGCAACTACTACTAAACCTACTCTACCAGCTACCACACGTACTACCACAAAACCAACAATAACCACCCAAAAGCCTGAGGAAACAACCCCTGAAGCCACAGAGGCACCAACAACTCCCAAGGATGAAGAGACAATCCCTCCAACTACTGAGGCACCAACAACACCCAAAGCTGAAGAGACAACCCCTAAAGCCACAGAGGTGCCAACAACACCCAGAGCTGAAGAGACAACACCTGAAGCCACAGAGGCACCAACAACACCCAAAGCTGAGGACACAACACCTGAATCCACAGAGGCAGCAACAACACCCAAAGATGAAGAGACAACCTCTGCAGCCACAGAGGAACCAACAACACCCAAAGATGAAGAGACAACACCTGAAGCCACAGAAGCACCAACAACACCCAAAGCTGAAGATACAACCCCTGAAGCCACAGAGGCACCAACGACACCCAAAGCTGAGTACACAACTACTGAAGCAAGTGAGGAACCTACAACACCCAAAGATGAAGAGACAACCCCTAAAGCCACAGAAGCACCAACAACACCCAAAGATGAAGAGACAACACCTGAAGTCACAGAGGCACCAACAACACCGAAAGCTGAAGAGACAACACCTGAAGCCACAGAGGCACCAACAACATCCATAGATGAAGAGACAACACCTGAAGCCACAGAGGCACCAACTACCCCCAAAGATGAAGACACAACACCTGAATCCACAGAGGC